AACAATAATTTCAGATACAATTTCTTCCGACTATTGCATCCAAATTCTTTGAAGTTATATTACTGGGTACTTTTTAACTGAATCACCGGTAGTTTGGGAGAAAACTTGTGTACAGCTGGTTGCTATTTCCGGCTTAGTTTATGAGACAATACACACGATAATCTTAATCTCTGCATATAAAACAATGCCTTGGACAGCAGGAAATAGAATGTTAATGGTAAATCATCGTGTCTGGTGATGTTTTATATCAAATTTCATATTTTTATTGACCAGGTTTGTAATACCTGTTTATTCACCTGACTTCGCTGAAAGGATACGATGTGTTTTTTTAAAAGCTCATAAAACTCGATAAATATGTTTTTTTACACTATGAATCATAAACAACTATTATTCTAATCCTTTTTTCATACTCTGATGCATACATTGTAGATCGTGTTAGGTAGGCAGAGCATGTACTGTTGTGTTGGTCATCTACCCCCTACGACTCCACCTCCATTAAGAGAGGGTATCACTGTCCCCTGATATTGTTGACATTATAATTTTTCTGAAAAAGAACCTGAAGTTGAACTATTCACACTGTGATGTGCATTGATTATTTTCTGGTGTTTGAACTTTAAGTTTCCTGCTGTTTTGAAATTTGACATGCTTTGACGGAGGGTAAGAGAAAGTTCCACTTTGAAGCTTAACAAGTAGTCTTGATATTATAAAATAATTTTGACTGTTCCAAAATCATGAAAGGTCCAATCCTGACATGCTAGAAGCCTTGAAATTTAATTTATGCTGGAGTACTGGAGTACTCTTTTTTTATCGTTGCGTATCGAGATACGTATCGTATCATGACCAGAATATCGAGATTCGCATCGTATCGTGACCTTCCTGTATCGTTGCAGCCCTAATTTCTATAATAAGTGCTTGTCATATTGAAGTTAAAAGTTAGTGTATTTATTTATTTAATATGTGTGTTACATTCCCAGGAATAACAAAAGGACTGCCTATTCAACTGCTTCGTGCTATGGATTAAACAATTGGACCACTCACAGTTGCTCTCTGTGATATAACATATTACCCAAGGTGGACCAATATAAGTTCTATGCGAGGTAATAATAAGTTATCAATGGATAAATAAAGCGACAAAGCCCTTTCTATATCCAATCGAATCTCTGCAAAAAGCAGAGTTGATAGCATAATTTTGTCTATATCATGAGTATGTGTTTATGAATCACTATGAAATAGTGATTATACCAGGTGTTCACAAAAAGGTGAGTGTATACTGCCCCAGCAGTAGCACCATCACAAACACATGCAAAGGCAAGTCAAATGTTCACCTGAAAAACAGGAACATATGGTACAAGTTAAAATAGGGAATTGCATCGGACATCATTTTTGTAACTGATGTGTCAAATTTTGAAATGTCCTCCACATGTCTATCATAAGACGGGACCGCCTCCGTGGTCTTGTGGTAGAGCGTCCGCCCGGAGAGCGGAAGGTCCAGGGTTCGATCCCGGGCCGCGTCATACAAAAAGACGTTAAAAGATTGTACTTGTTGTTACCCTGTCTGGCGCTCGGCATTAAGGGGCTAAAACAAGGACTGGTCGGCTCGGAGTCAGTATACTGTGTCTGATTGGGGTATTCATGTTAAACTGCGGCATGGTATCTCAGTGAGCTAGCCCTATAAATCGGCATCAGTCCGGACTAGTACAAGCAGCCACACACACACATACACATGCATGCACGTCGCTATATAAGTGCAATAATCTTGGACACGACGTTAAACCCAATTTCACCTCACCTCACCTATCATAAGACTTTTTGTAAGCTTTACTGTTGTCTTCAACATTAAAACCTTCATCAAGCAACTTCTGAGCAAGAGTCATATGACGCCCTTTGAAATCTTCTTGGTACAACTCAAAATAAGGAATTGCATCAGACATCATTTTTGTCACTGGTGTGTCAAATTTGGAAATGTCCTCCACATGTCTATCATTAGTCTTTCTGAAAGCTTCACTGAGGCCTTGAACGTTAAAACCTTGATCAAACAGCTTCTAAGCAAGAGTCGTAGGACGTTATTTGAAAGTTCATGCTCGACTGAATCTCAGAAGTTGTGAAATGTAAACACCAAAGGCAGGAACTGCTGGAATATTGCTCGACATGAAGGGAAAGTTTACTATTGGAAAGTTTAAGTCATTCCTCTTGTCATACAGTCTTGTGGAGAGTGTTTTGCCACTCAGATCTAAATATGAAACAGATGAGGCGGTCTCACTGGTCTTTCTAGTTCAGATGGGTGATTTAATTGAAGGGAATTGGCTATTTGATTGTTATTGAATGATATCAGATCATCTATATACCTGAGGCTTAAGTTAAACTTCTTGGCAAAATTACCTCGTTTTGACTTTGCCAATCCGAGCAGAAATTCTGATTCATATGCATGAAGAAACAGATCCAAAATTGGTGACCATGTGGATGCCTACTTCTTGCCTGAATGTCTTACCCACAAATTTGATGTAGATGTTATCGATGAGGAAGTCCAGCATTTCACATATTGTTTTCTCAGTAAACTTCAGATGGCATTTGCTTCATTTTTTACAAATTGTCCTGAACTTCTGAAGATAGATATGTAACTGTATCTGTGGTCACCACGTTTTGTAACAAAAGCCCCAAGGATCTAGGAATGAAGTTTTTCCTTAATGGAATAAGGGTGTACAAAGTTTAAAAATCAGCATGAATTGTGCTCCCCTCCATGGTGATCTGTTTCTTTATATTCATATGAATCAGAATTTCTTCTTGATTAGGAAAGTCAAAACAAGGGAATTTGGCCAAGATGATTAACTTGAGATTCAGGTATTTCAATCAGCTGATATTTTTAAATAACCATCAAATATCCAATGTAAATAGCCAGTTAAAACTGATTTACCCTCCTGAACTAGAAATAAATGAGACCAGTGAGACTTCCTTGTCTGTTTTATATTTAGATCTATGCATAAAGATTCAGCATGACAACTTCAACTCTCAAATAGTCAACTTCTCCTTTATGTTGAGCAATATTTCAGCAGCTCCAGCCTTTGGTTTTGACATTTTACAACTTTTGAGGTACAATCAAGCGTGCTCCTTCTTCGAAGATTTCAAAGTGTGTCATACGACATTTGCTCAAATGTTGTTTGATCAAAGTTACAACACTCAGTAAAGCTTTCCAAAAGTGTTATGGTAGACATGTGAAGGACATTTCTAATTTGACGCATTAGTGTTAAAAATGATGTCCGAAACAAATGCCAGTTTTGACTTGTACCACATGGTCCTGTGTTTTTTTCAGGTGAACAAATGACTTGCTTCTGCATGTGTGTGTCTGTGATGGGTGCCACTATTGTGGCAGGATACTCTCACCTGGTGTCAGCACTATTTGATAGTGATTCATAAACACATGCTCATGATAAAGTCTGAATTGTACAATTGACTCTTCTTTTAGCAGCCATTTCTTATGAAAATTTCTTTCTCACTTTTATTAACTGACAAAATATTAGACCATATTAATGATAACATAAGTGATAATAACTATAGGCCATATATATTGTACGATATTTCAACAACACGCAGGGGCAGGCTCAAAACGCTACACTGTTATTATCCAGAAGCTGCCTGTGAGGGGCTACAAGGTTAACAGTCATATTTCTGAATGGGCTTGTCATGGTCCTCATATGGAAAAAGCAGATTTGCAGTGTTTGGATTTACCAAAATTCTAGACATCATCCATGCTTAAAGAGAAAGGCTAACAAAGCTCTCTTTGCATTGAAGCAAATAAGAATTCGTTTTAAGAATATTCCTATCTCAGCCTTATTTAAGATTTTTGATATGCAAATAAAGCCGATATTGTTGTACTCGTCAGAAGTGTGGGGCTTTAACAAAATGCCAGCAGTTGAAAAATTTCATGTGAAATTTTGTAAGTTTGTTTTGGGTGTTGGAAATCATGTAACAATTGCAGCAGTATTAGGAGATTGTGGAAGATATGGATTGTATGTTGATTACCATAAAAGGTGTATTAAATATTGGTTACATTTATTATATCTACCTAATACTAGATACCCAAAGCAAAGTTATATACTATTGAAGTCTCTAGATGATGCTGTCGCATTACATGGGTCACATATGTTAAAAAAATGTTATTTGATTATGGATTGGGATTTGTTTGGATTTTGCAAGAAGTTGGTGATTGTAAAATATTTATTGATACTTTTGTATAAATACTGAAGATTGTTGTCAACAAGAATGGTATAGTAAAGTTTGTGAATCTCGTAAATTAATATTCTATAAAGAATTTAAGTTACTTTTGAACGATACGATCGTTTCTGTTACGATCTGGTGAGCTACCCTTGATGAAAAATGTTGGTAGACGCTGTGGTGTGGAATATTCTCAAAGATGAGTTCCATTTCATGTTAGTATGTCCATATCATAAGCATTTAAGAAACAGATAATTCCCAAAATACTACTGTCATAACCCATGTTTAAGAAAATTGTACTCTATAGTGTCATGCAATAAGCAATTGATGTTGATTAATTGTGCAAAGTTTATATAAACTCTCTATTTGTTAGACAAAACGCACATCTGTCTCAAAATTGATTTTTGTAATTTATTGTTTGGGGCCAATGGCCTTTCTTCTGAAATAAACTTTGAATTGAATTAAATTGAAAAATTGAGTTGAAAGAGAATGAGTAAAATGTTTATTTTCCTTTGTAAGAAATATTCCAGCAATATCACAGCAAGAATTCAACCCGGGTATGAGCGAAAGTTTTAACCACTAGACTACCACACTGTCTCTCATATGCTTAAAAGCCATAATTCATTTGTTTTCTATTGCTGAGTATCTTCCTTATTGTAGATGAAAATAATTTTATACACTTGGAGAAAAAAGAAAGAGGAGTAGAAACTTCAACTGAATGCAATATGTTATATTAGAAAGGCAGTTTTGCACTCTTTACTTATGGAACTAACGGGCTGTAACCTACTCACCTCTGTAGTACCAACCCTCATCCGTCCATCTTGCTAGGACTTCTTCTCTGTCTTTGACAGGAGGCAAGGACTTCCTCATCTCCAGAAGAGCGAGAGATTTGTGTTTGGTGTCTGTGAAATATTGACAAATTCATCATTATCTTCTTCCAAAGACAAAAAGAGCAATTTATCAAACAGTATTACACAACCAATAAACAAAAATAGGCAGTTTTCCTTTATCTACCACCTGATGAAATATGTTGAAGTAAACTGAAAATAATGATCACGATTTGTTGTGAATATGAATTTTTCTGGATATATTAAGTCAATTTCCAAGCGAGACAAATTCATAATCTTTGTAGAAAGTATTTAAATGTCCAAGTGAAAGTGATGAAATCAGACACTCTGTGGTCGTCTTCCGAAACAAACTTATTTGGGGGTGTGGCCTACAGGTACCGGTGTAGAGGTGCAGCGATGTGTGACAAACGTTTCATTGACTGATATGTGATTTTGAGCCGCTCTACACATACCGGTACAGTCAAATCAAACACTATAGGGGACTACTACCTCTATTAAATCATTTCCATATTCTTGTATTTTCACAGCAATCACACTATAACTAATTCTTCAGATTTTCAACAGAAGTCCTCACTGTTAACTATACGTAACTATAGTTGTCAACACAGAAGTACGAAACAGCTTGTAGCCCTTCTGTGTGCTGGAAAACCTCACTTTTCTCAAAACATCTGCCAACTAGAGGCAGATAAAAGGGGATGTGGGAGGGAGTACTTCTCATGTGAAAGAGGTAGTTTTCTTAGAATTATTAACAATGATTACTATTGTTCATTTAATTCTTACGAATCCTCTACCTTTGTTACATCATTGCCAGAATGTACAGAATGATAGGCGGGCTCTGCCTCTAGTAGACTCCCAGTACAGTTGACAGTAGACCTACATAGCTTGTGATAGCATCCATTAGTAGTCCTTTCCAAGTCCTAAGAGGAAAAACTAACTATTGAATCATCTCAAGAGGACTTAAAAGCTCAGTAGATATCATGTGGTACCTTCACTGGAATTACTGTTGTATTTGCTGTTAATGATGTCATTATATGTTCAAAACCCATCTCTCAGACCATCATTTGAAGTTTCTGGCGTAACTTCCAGTCTTATTGTACTTATATCATTATATAACATCATTCTATGATATCACTTGTGGTTTTGACGTCATTTCTGGTCTCATCATCACTTGTGACTTAAGGCTTTATTCAGCTATTTCCCTTTATGTAGCATACACTCAGAAGCTAAGATGTGCAAAAGGTCAGAGGAAGCGATCTGGGTGATCAGTTGTTGGAACCACTGCAGGAATCGTGTATCTGTGTCTCATTGATCTGAGAGTAGTTGACTGATTTTTGGCAACAAACTCTGGGAGATGTCTTAAGGTGATTGTTCTCCAGTCTGTTAGAAGGTAAACTTGAGTCGGTTTCAATTATCATAATTGTCCGAGAGAGGAGACCCGTGAAGATCCGGGGTATAATACCCATGCTTGCCATAAAGGCGACTTTGCTTGTGGTAAGAGGCGACTAACGGGATTGGGTGGTCAGACTCGCTGACTTGGTTGATGCATGTCATCGATCCCATATTGCATGGATCGATGCTCATGATATTAAACACTGGATTGTCTGGTCCAGACTGGATTATTTACATATAGCTGAAATATTGCTAAGTGCAGCGTTAAACAACAAACCAAACAAGAGGAAGTATTTTACATACACTTTAGTTGAATCATCTTACTTTGTTACATAAAGCCGAGCATGCACTGTTACTCCTCCCCTTAAACCATGCTTTCCGGTAAGACAGGTTTCTGTTACCGATGTTGTACCAGAAGAAATGCAGCCATGTTTTATTTCTGGAATAATATTCTACCATGAATTTGGAAATTACTCGATTCTGATTGGTCAATCAGAGGCTATTAAATCACAATAAACCCTCTCTGATTGCAATTGAAACAGCTGGTTTGACGGCTGCATCACCATGGAAGCTAATATTCATAGAATAGTGCTTCTTTCAGTCATTGTCAGTAGGCATATTTAAATAACTACATCTACAATTACAGGTTACAAAATGCACAGATGCAGTTTCTACAATATTCAAAGGATGTGTGGCAATACATTTCGTGCAGAAAACACAATATAAATGTACAGAGAGAATGTATTTACGTTTTGGAGACAACAGAGAGCTTGGAATTTGGTGCTTTTCTATATACGACTGTGACGTCTTATATTTTGCGTCACAATGAGCAATATGACGTCATAATGGTGACTTGCGGTGTAGAACGAAATCTTTGCAAAGCTTGCCTAGTTTTCTTTAGGGATGCCTTCTTAATGTTAGCTTAACAAGTTGACGTGCTTATATGCTTTGAGTCATTCAGATTGACAACCTACTCAAAACACTGGACTCAACACACCGCTTCACACAATACATTTGCTAACACCAAAGAGTTCGTGTTTTATTTATTCATGGAAGAATGAAGATAAACATACTGTGTTTTCAATGTAGAGCTAGGTCACCTGTAGATTTAACCACGCTAAATTTAACATCTACAGGTAACCTAGCCCTACATTGAAAACACAGTATGTGTATCTCCTAATTCTAACAAATATTAAGAATATTACCTCTATTATATCATTGCCATAAATCCTGTATTTAGGTTGCAATCACACTAAAAGTAAACTTTCAGATTTTCAACAGAAATCCTCTTCACTCTCAACTACCAGTATACAAAACTAGTTGTACCTGCAATAGCACTATCATACTACAGCAAACTAGTTGTACCTGCAGTAGCAATATCATACTACAGCACTTCCATGCACCAAGGTGGGAAAATCCTCACTTCTTTCCAAACTTCACACAACTAGATATATATATGATTGGGGAGTTGGGAGAGAGTACTTCTTATGTGATAGAGGTGGTATTCTTAGAATGATTAACAATGAGAACTATTGTTTTGATAATCCTTACGAATCCTCTACCTCTATTACATCATTGCAAGACTATACCAGAGGGTAGCCAGGTTTTGCCTCTAGTACACTCCCTATATAGTTGACAGTACATCAAGTAGACTCATATTACATTATCTTTGAGACTGGTTCAGATCCTGAGGAGATGACTTCCAACTCTTCACCTCAAAAATACTTGAAAATTGTGCAGTAGAATCCTTGTTTTGACTTACTGTTATATTGCTGATATTCTTATTAATTGTCTTTTAATCCTTCAAAGACATCATAACTTAGTAAATATTGGTTCTGATGTCTCTTCTGGTAGTATTCCTTCCGAAAAAGTTCTTTTGTATACAAATTGTAGTCCGGGACAGTCACAATGCAACTATTGCACAACCAAACATGAGCTTCTGGCAGTAGTAACATTCCTTAAGCACTTTAGACACTTTTTATATGGCAGAAAGTTTGTTTTTTGCGCAATGATCATGCCTCTTTGATTTGGCTGCAAAACTTCAAGGATCCAGGAGAGTGTCTTCTTACCCGGAGAGGCCCTGTTCCAGGTCCTTGAAGACAGGTCCGGAACCAAGCAGCCCAAGCTCCATGAGGCTCAGGAGGAGGACCAACAAGTATTGGTGAACTTTTCCAGTAATTTAAGTATCGTGTCATGCATATCCGTTCACATTTTTTCAGATTTAATGTTTGTGTATAGGCCTGAATCCTTTTATTTTGTTGTTGTTTATTTTGCTATTTATTTTTTATTTTGATTTTTTGATATCCCCTGCAGGTTTTTCTATATATTTACACTTGTTGATTTATCTACATTTGTTTTGCTTTTGTATCTTTGAGTGGGCAAAAAGGGTAACTTTTTTACTTTAACGGGGGGGGGGGACAAAGTGGTTGACTGTGGATTATTGTGGGTAAATTGTTATATTAGGTTGGTTGGTTGGTTGGTTTGTTGTTTTACGCCGCACTCGACAATATTCAAGCTATATGACGGCGGTCATAATGAGCATCGATCTGTGCAATTGGGATCGATGACATGCATCAACCAAGTCAGCGAGCCTGAACACCTGATCCCGTTGGTCGCCTTTTACGACAAGCATGGGTTGCTGAAGACCTATTCTATCCCGGGATCTTCACAGGTTTGATATATTTAGGAACGTAGTGGGTGGGTTAGTTTAAGGGGAGTTGAACGGCTGACGTTGTACCTATCTTTGTAGTCCTTATTGTAGTAGCTTATGCCCACACTGGCGTAGTGGGTGGGAAGACATGACGATGTCTCCTTGCATGCTCGGCTAGGCCGAAGCCATGATTGGGAGAGCCGAGATGTAAGGAGCGTGTTCATTGGCTGTGTCTGTTTTCCTGGTCACATGGTAAGTGTGTTGGCTTTGTAAGCCTACCCTGGGTAGGGAACCATCAGTTGTCACTCACCAGTATCTGGTAAGGAAGAGTCAACTCACGCGCCCTGAAGCAGGACCATATATTATTTCTTATACTGCTTTCGTTGGGATAAATGGGATGTTAGATTAGGAGATATGGGTTGGGGGAAAATAGAGTAGGGATTAAATAGGTTTGTCAGGAGCCTCCTAGAACATAGAAACAAAAGAATACTGCACAGGGAGAAGAGAACACAACGCAAAGCACCCTGTAAATCATCAGACCTTTAGTCATCCATTTTTATAGTTCTCCTGTCACTAGGCGCCTTTTACAGGCTTTAGAGGGCGCCCATTACATATGTGTCAGTTGGTTCATGAACCTACCTCATTTCTTAATATATGTGTCAGTTGGTGCAAGGACATACCTCATTTCTTAATATATGTGTCAGTTGGTGCAAGGACATACCTCATTTCTTAATATATGTGTCAGTTGGTGCAAGGACATACCTCATTTCTTAATACATGTGTCAGTTGGTGCAAGGACATACCTCATTTCTTAATATGTGTCAGTTGGTGCAAGGACATACCTCATTTCTTAATATATGGGTCAGTTGGTGCACGGATATACCTCATTTCTTAAAATATGTGTCAGTTGGTGCACGGATATACCTTATTTCTTAATATATGTGTCAGTTGGTGCATGAACAAACCTCATTTCTTAACATGTGTCAGTTGGTGCAATGACATACCTCATTTCTTAATATATGTGTCAGTTGGTGCAAGGACATACCTCATTTCTTAATATATGTGTCAGTTGGTGCATGAACAAACCTCATTTCTTAACATGTGTCAGTTGGTGCAAGGACATACCTCATTTCTTAATATATGTGTCAGTTGGTGCAAGGACATACCTCATTTCTTAATATATGTGTCAGTTGGTGCAAGGACATACCTCATTTCTTAATATATGTGTCAGTTGGTGCACGGATATAACATTTCTTAATATGTGTCAGTTGGTGCACGGACATACCTCATTTCTTAATATATGTGTCAGTTGGTGCACGGATATAACTTATTTCTTAATATGTGTCAGTTGGTGCACGGATATAACTTATTTCTTAATATGTGTCAGTTGGTGCACGGACATACCTCATTTCTTAATATATGTGTCAGTTGGTGCAAGGACATACCTCATTTCTTAATATATGTGTCAGTTGGTGCACGGATATAACTTATTTCTTAATATGTGTCAGTTGGTGCACGGACATACCTCATTTCTTAATATATGTGTCAGTTTGTGCAAGGACATACCTCATTTCTTAAAATATGTGTCAGTTGGTGCAAGGATATACCATTTATTTTATTATTTGTGTCAGGTCTTACCTTTGTTCTGTGTCTTTACCGGCATCAAACTGGAATGCTGGTCTTCATCAGAGGGAGATGTAAGAGCAACAGCACCTGTCAAGTCCTTGGCTTCAGTAGCATTTGACATCTCTCCCAAATCAGAGACAGACTCTTCATTATGATGGTGATGTGCATTCAGCAATCTTTGTGCCTATAATTCATTCATAGATGAAACAAACTGCTTGCAACAAACTGTTCTCCTAAAGATTAAACAATATTAAACATATGTCTGACTCAAGTTTTATGATCTTGTTCAACCAAATGCATATATAACTATTTTGTTTCCAATTTCAAAGATGTCTGCAGTAGAAAGGGAAAACATTCAAGTTTCAATGTATCTGTTCAATGGAGATATTTTTAAGTAATACTACTGCCAAGGTACTTTAGTTTACCTTGGACAATGAATCATTGAATCATTAAGAGTTAACAGAACTGCACTGTGACTTGAACTTGTATGCAGTGATATTTTCAATGACAAGGAAAGAGTTGTACTGTGAATAAAATCAATTGAGACAGAATGTTATAGATGTCTATATATAGACTATGTCGATATAGAACTATCGAGCAACGAAAACATCAAATGGTTTAGGATCCATGAACCAGAGCTTTTAAGACAGAACATATGTGCAAGGTGTTGTGAATTCAGTCTCTCTTGACACAAGTTTAATGCACAATTAACTACAATACTCAGGAAGGTTTACTTTATAAGATAGCTATCTGATGAAATGGAAAAAGTAACCAACTGTTTGAGTGGCATTCTAAAAGTTGATGATTTTACAAGAAAACATACACATTTATGAATAGCAACTTCTAGTTTATTGCATTTAGGGACTTTTCCATGTAAATTCTGATCATGCTGGATAATGGTGTAACAATCTTCATTAAAACGTCACTAAAGACCGAGCCTGGAAATTCCAACCTTGACATTTATAGTCAGTTAATGCCCTTGTGTCAGGAAGATGAACTAAAACTGACAATTGATGTAAGTGGTGTCTCTAGGTCTTGAAAACCTTCATCTCAAGACAATTGATGTGGAGTGTCTTGTCCCTACTCTGACCATATTCCCTGGGCAGTGGCTTCATCCATGTGTGCACCCCAACCTGTGGCTGATGCATCTGGGTAAAGATGATGGACTGGAGCAGGGTTCACAAGGTGGGAATACCTGTCATAACATTAGAGTTTAGCCAAGTCTGCATAGGACATAATTGCAGTCTTTCCCTGTAGGTAAGATCATATGGAGGGATAAGAAGCCCTTGGCATGACAACCACCATCGTTAAGATTGCGGTTGGCCAATTTAAATGCTTGCGCAATCACGTTCATGGCCCTGACATATCTGTCCTTTGGTGGTCCTAGAATGCCTCAGTGAAGTTGGAATCTGGCTCCCATGTCCTGGATTTGGTTGGATGTACCAGGTAAGTTAAAAACTGAATCAGGAGGATGGAGTTTCGTTGAAGTTGGACTGGTCTGCTGAGAGATATTCGCCTATGTATCCCTGAAGTCTCACATGACATAGATGAGAAAACCCGATTGTAGGGATGATGATAAATAGGTAAAACGCTATGGAGATTCCAAATGGCAGGACTAGAAACTCATATCTGTGATTGTTGGCCGTGAAACGCAGATAACGATGGCAACTTGGATGGATGGGAATATGTTTTTAGATTGATAGCCCAGTCTCATAACCTCAGAGATGTTCTGAATTTCTTGACCAATTCCATCTGAAATCAGAGGGGACACGCTACATAATACCTGTTGAGCACTTTGAAGTCTATGGTCATGCGCATGTCCCCTTGTTTTTTTTCACAATGAGCGAACTGATCTTTTGACAAGTAATATAAACTAGCAGGCAAAAGAAAGTTTTCACTGACTTCACTTGACCAAACACCAAAAACAAAGGCATATGTGAGATTTATGATGATTAATTTATAAACAGAAATCATTTTCCATGAATTAGAATGAAGATGCATTGTAATGCCGTTAATGCATTCTCCGCAAAACAAAAAGAAAGAGTGAAGGGGTCCAAATTAAAAATTACACATATCAGAGTCCATTGAAAAAGTGCATGAAGAGTCCATTAATGACACAGTAGTCGGGTAACACGTAATCAATAGCGAGTGTGACCACCCTGGGCATTCATGCACGCCAACACACGCCTCCTCATTGACGTCACAGAGATGTTCAATGGGGTTCATGTCTGGAGAACAAGGTGGCCAGGGCAATACGTTGACGTTAACGTTGTTCAGGTAGTCTTGAACAATTCGGGCGGTGTGAGGCCTTGCGTTGTCTTGTTGCAAAATTAATCCTCTTGGCTGATGTTGAATAAAGGGCACCACAACAGGTCTCAACACTTCATCCCTGTATCGCTGAGCATTCAGGTTTCCTTGGATGATAACCAGCCGTGTTGTAATCTGGCCACAAATGCCACCCCATACCATGACGCCTCCACCTCCAAACAGGTGAACTTCTCTAATGCAGTTTGGCTCCAGTCGCTCTCCCCTTTGTCGAAAAACTTGAACTCTGCCATCGTTCCTGAACAGACAGAACCGATTTTCATCTGTAAAGAGCACTCTCGCCCAGTCACGTCGCTGCCAACGATGTACAGTTCGTGCCCATTGCAGTCTGCGTTGACGGTGTAGACGGGTCAAGGCCATTCCAAGGAAGGGTCGTTAGACCTGTATACCAGCCGTACGAAGTCTTCTGATGGCATGCCCTAGTGCTGTTGCCGCCGTTGCCGTTGCCATCACACATCTGTTTCGGAGGTGAATCTGCCGGATGTAGCGGTCTTCGGCCGGTGTTGTCACTCTCGGTCTTCCCGATCACTAGTGTGCAGTGGGTAGAGCCCGCTCGATGCACTCCCCATGCTTAATGATCTTCTTGCCCAGGTGGGAAATGGTTGTGGACTCTTCTGCAGTCCCCTCAACAAGTGTCACCTTTTCTTTTGATGATTTACTCTTCTACGAGCTAACCATGGTCCAAATCATGATTGAGCCCTGGCTTCGTTGGAATCCTGAAATCTTTCGCCCTGTCTATGACAGTCTGAGAAGTCACTCTGCCAACTGTGAAGACAGTATCTCAATTCATCAGTGAAAAGTACTGGAGACCAATCCACGTCTGTCCAATAGATGTGATACTCAGCGTATCATTGCTCATTATTGCATTATTTCAATGTTTTTATGTTGGATGTTTTGTTGATATCATCAAAATTTGATCCTTTGCATTGAAAACTTTGAGTTGTATACTTTCGTAAAAAGAATTGAATAATATTTTTGATAAGCAGATAATTGAGGTAATACATCTGTACTTACCTATGACAAATCTATGAATTTAACACTGAGAAACAACCTAAACAATTACGTGCTAATATTAGACGAAAAACTGTCCTTGTTTATGTTAGTACACAATAGTGCATTTGGTCCTGGCTGATTGATCAGATTGGCGTTTGGACTTGTCAGTGATCACTGACCTACTTATTTACCAATTTGGCTTGTACTGGGTAACATCAAGTTTCCTAAACATTAATAAATCTCAATGTTCATGTCAATATACCAAAATGTGATGCTACATTATTGCTTTAGCTCTGAGACCAGACTGACGATCATGTCATTATTTTGAATGAAAAGAATATTATAAATCCCCGTAGATGCAGTGTAGACACCCTACAGACTTCCTTTGTATCACACATATTGTCAAAAATAATACACACCTGCCATCTCCTCTCCGTCTGCTCCTTAATCAGGTCTTCAATTGTTCTCTTTACTTCCTGGAATGACATTTCATGAATATTTACATAATAGTGCTGAATGTCTACAACAATTATTTCACTGCTAGAAAAGAATCTCATTTTCAATTGTAACAAGGTTCTAGACATTTTGGGTGGGGAAAGGGGTGCTGAATCATTTCCCTTTCGACATGGCTGCTCAACACCATGGTTCAAAACAAAGATATATAGAATTCAACAATTCACCTGATGAAAATACCCCCAACCGATCTGACTATTTGGCACTTTTTTTGGTTATTGAAGCTTACGAGAAAGAACCCATCAAACTGAATCCGTTTGCAATCTCTAAAGGTATCGCTGGTATCTGCAGAGAGGTTACAAATGTCACCAAACTTCAATCTGGTTTTCTCCTTGTGGAATGTGCAAAGAGACAGCAATCCGTCAATCTGCTCAAATTGAAAGAGTTTGTAAATATCAAGGTTGCTGTCTCTGAGCACAAGACACTTAACTCATGCAAGAGAATTGTCCGCAACAGAGCTTGCTGCCTGTCCGGCATGACCGAGGTGAAATAGTCAAAGAATTTCTCCAACAGTCTATCACAGCTGTCAAACAATTCACTGTCAAAAAAATTGGTGTGGTTGAACAGTCCAGCTTCACTTTCGCCTGTTCAAAGATTCAAAGCTGGTTATTGTTGCATTGGAGTGGAGGTGTATATCCCCAATCAACTGCGGTGCTACACCTGCCAAGCCTTTGGACATGGATCCAAGTCCTGCCATGCCTCTGCTGCTTGTTACCGCTGTCGTGACAAGCACGAGAGCACTGACTGCAGGAAGGATGTGAAGTGTTCAAACTGCGATGGGAACCATATGGCCTCATCTAAATCCTGCCCTGTGTGGAAACTCGAATCACAAATCATGGAAGTCTAAATTAAACAAAATCTCTCCTACCATGAACTCCTACTTTGAACATAGTGTTTACAATATGTTCAAGTCCCCATGATCCCCAGCTAGGTGGCCTTACTGGGGTTATTGGTGGCTTATAGCCCATGTTTTAAACTGTATTAATGATGTTGTTATGCCCAAATGTGTTTGATGAAATTTGTTTTAAATATAACTTTTCATAAATGACTCACTTGTGAATATATCGACTTAGTCTCATCGCTATATGGCTGAAATAATGCTGATGCGACATTAAATTCTAACTCACTCACTCATCAGCTTAATATTACATATCCTCTGGTAGATAATCCCGAACTCAGTTCATAAGGTAGTATCAGTCCCCTCCGATAGAACTTCAAAGCCCGCAGTCACTGTCCAAGTATGTATGTATACAAAAGCTGGTTACGTAACATGTGGTTTGATCCAATGTCTGTTTATCTGTTTAGACTGGCGTCTTGACAACTTATACCGGTGTAGATGAGTAATACTCTGGTCAGCTGCTAACTTTGTCTCCTTAAACTATCAGTTGGTTTATCTTTGCTTTTATTTCTTTTTCCAATTCATGTGTGTGTTTTCGTGTCCTCTGTGGGTGAGGCATTACTCTAATGTAGGCAGCATCACTAGTTAAGCACCATGACATCAATCATTATTATTGTTGTCTTATCTAATTCAAATCATCACAGATATTTCTGATATTTCTGGATATCTTCAGTCATAATGAGGACATAAGTTTGATAAAGCCCTAAATGTTGTGTTACAGTATTTCCCTAACTATAATTTTGTTGAAGCTTTCATTCAATGACGCTGCAGAAAATCACATAAAATTGCAATGATCATGCATGATAATCAAATGTACAAACACTTCGTTTGGATTATCAAAGTGGCGATTCCATCCGGCTTAGCTGTTTTGCAAATGAGCATGACAAGAGGCCGTCTGTAGAGACAGTCGAATTAAATTTTGAGGCAATATCTATACACATTTCTGAACACAGGTTGGTTATCCATAATCTATGAAAATTTTGATTTTACAAAGGACATATGTTAGTAAATTTCTTTGACCTAAACAAACAGGCAAATAGAAAGGTGGAAGATGGCGTTATTAGGAAATTTCCCTGATGGTTATAGTTTCATAAAAAAAAGTATCCCCGCAGTGCAAGCATTTTGGGAATTCGGATTGAGTGGCTGATAAGAAGACTGAGATTGACTTGGATCAGCTTTCTGTGTTTCATAGTTTGATATTTAATCCTGTCATGTAATGTCATGTCATGTCAATAGACATATAAAATTTGGAAAAAAGTTGATTTATTTGAGGCTGAAAATGAAGCCCAATTTTGCCCTTGCATATGGTTATTGTATACTATCGACTATCAGATGTAAACTGAACAAGAAGCTAAAGTCATCAATATCCCCCACCCTTTTAAATATGTGCATAAATCAAACTATGTATATGTCATATTCTTCATTACACCAAAAAGGTTTTGTGATTGCAAGTGACATTATGACAGATGACTAAACCGGAAAATGAAATCCTCATTTGAACCTTAGTTCAACTTGCAAAATCTGAAACAACACCTCAGTAGCAAAACCCACCAGTTCAGCATTGCCCGATACAAAGAAATGAGAAACATTCTATGCTACTACTGCTAATTTTTTATGCAAAAATGATGATGCGATTCAACGATCGTCATGATTCGTATTAGTGAGTGAGTGAGTGAGATTGATTTTACGCCGCATTTAGAAATATTCCAGCAATATCACGGCAAGGTATACCAGAAATGGGCTTCACACATTGTACCCATGTCGGGAATCGAACCCGGGTCTTCGACGTGACGTGCAAATGCTTTAACCACTAGGCTACCCGACCACCCCGATTCGTATTAAATGAAACATCAATATTAATTAATAATGGATAAAATTTACTATAGCCCACGAGGATATTGGAAAGGTATAGGAGCAATACAAAAATTTTCCACTGCGGCTAAGGTATCTAAAGATGTGGCCAAGGATTGGCTAAAGGAACAAGCGATTTGGCAAATATACTTAACAGCACCGCGTTATATCCTGAGGAAGAAGTTTGATGATATTTTTACAATAAATGAAGTTCATCAAGCTGACCGCTTGTTTCTTCCCCATGATAAGGTAAGACGCAAAATAGATAAATACGCTTTAACCGTAGTGGATGTGGCTAGTCGATACAAAGAGCCTGAACCATTAATCTCGAAAGATTCAACAGAAGTAGCTAATGCACTGAGTCGCATATATAAATACGGACCACTAAAATGGCCCAAGTTATACTGAACCAAATTAAAAACTTCACAATCCTAAAATTTTAACATTTTGACCAGTTATCATTGTGGGCCCTTTTTTGTGTATTTAAACAGTAATGGCCACGTATTGTCTTCAGATAACACCCGTTTTTGTGCAGGTGAATCGATGAAAATCATGTGCACAGCACTATAGTGGCAAAAGTGGTTTTTCATGTGCAACTGGTCATGTGGCCATAATACCGCACGTGTTTTCAGCCATACTTGTTAGCAGTCATTACCAAAAAAGAAAAACACAAGAAAACAAAAGTCTTTACGGCTATTTGTCATGCCACGCCTTTCAAATGTGCAACGTGAACGTGCCATCGGCAAGTTGCAGACGGGAACGTCTGTAGCTGAAGTCGCAAGGACGATGGGTTGTAGTCGACGGACTGTATATGATTTACAGACGCGTCTACAGCAAACGGGTACCACCGCTGATCGCCCTCGGCCAGTTCAACCACATGTGACGTCTGCGCAAACTGTTCGAAACCATCTGACAACTGCTCACCTTCAAGCACGACGGCCATACCGCGGGCCGATTCTGACTCAATTTCACAGACGTCAACAGCAATTGTGGGCACAGCGACACTTACGATGGACTCAGAGGAATTGGAATCAAGTCATCTTCAGTGATGAATCCTGATTTTATCTTCGATTTGCTGATGGTAGGGCGAGGGTGTGGAGGCGCTGTCATGAACGTTACGCCCAGTGTTGTGTACAGGAAGTTGACAGATTTCGAGGCGGAAGTGTCATGGTGTGGGGTGCTTTCTGTGGCAATGCACGTTCCAGGCTTCTTGTCATCCGTGGCGACCTCAACGCTGCTGCTTACCGCGACCAGGTACTGGCACCAGAACTTCTGCCTTTTATGGCAGCACATGGACCCGGTTTGATCTTCCAACACGACAAAGCCAGACCCCACACAGCAATTTTGACATGGAATTTCCTTCAGAATGCGGGAGTCAACGTCATGGACTGGCCGTCAAGGTCTCCTGACCTCAATCCTATCGGACACGTCTTGGATGCTCTTGGCAGAAGTCTGCGCACTCTCCAGAACCAACCACAGAATTTGCAAGATCTTGGCACCATTTTGCAGCAGCAATGGCGTCGTCTTCCCAATCATGTGTTCACAAGCATCACAAGGTCCATGCGGAGGCGTTGTGCGGCAGTTGTCAATGCACATGGTGGCCATACACGCTACTGAACTTGTGTGCCATCAGATTCTCGTGCTTGGGACTTATGATTTAAACTGTTGATGTTATCACCGAATACCGTAGGTGCTTGGAACAAATTATGGTTACCACCGTTAATTCAAATCCTTCTTTGGACATTAATTATTAAAAATTACCTTCTGATACATTTGTCCGTTGTATATCATATATGGGATTACTTTTCAAAATGTGAAGTTTTTAATTTGACTCAGTATATTTCAAGTAGATCCTGGTCGCGAGTTTATGGGATCAGTAACTAAACTATTGACAAAGCATGATGTTGAAATCAGGCTTGGTGAAAAAGAGGCCCACCGTAGTCAAGCTATCGTTGAAAGATTTAACCGGACATTAGCGAAACGTTTGTTTGGATATCAGTATGGGATTGAAATGAAATCAGATCGATTAAGATCAACCGAATGGGTGACACGATTATCAGCTGTTGTATCAGCACTAAATAATGAAGTAACAAGATTAATTGGGAAGAAACCATCCAATGTGATTCAAATGAAATCTGTTGAATTTTACATTACTTTTCTGCATATGTAGTGCAGCTAAGTCGTTATCAAATATCTTACTTCTGTTAAAAGCCG